TAGAAAGACTAAAAGATTTTTGGGTAAAAGAAATTATTAAATCTAAATTCACAGATGAAGATAAACAAAAACTCAATAAGCTTAGAGAAGAACATATCAGAGAATTGGAACAAACTCAACCTGGTACAAATGATTTCAATCAGATAAATGAAGGAATATGTGATGAAAAACAAATTGGTCCTTTAGAAATAGGAAGACGTTGGTTTAGAGAAATAAGAGATAGTAGAAATCTAACTGAACAACAGAAAGTTATGTTGAATATAAAGCATGATGAACAATTAAAAGCATTATCAAATAAACAATATGATAAAATCAGTGAAGAAATCCCTAAAATTGATGCTGCAACTCCGTTAAATAATAGACAACGTATAGATATTGCAATTCGAGAGCTGAAAAATGAGAACTTTATAGGAAATAGAAATATTAACATATTACAACAAATGAGAAGAGGAAGATATCAATTAATTGAAAAAGAGTCTGAAATTGAGAGATATAATAGATACAGAAGGCAAATCACAAACTTTTACAATAATAGACAAGTTGTTCCACTTTCAAATAATAATACCCTTGCAAACAACATTGAAAGACTCAATCAAACTCTAATGGAAAGTGATAGAATTAAAAATGATCTAGTCAATTTGAGGAAACATAGATATAATACTTTACTATATAACATTCTTGAAAATGAAATGAAAGAAGATAATGATAAACAATCATTCGAAGATGGTGAAAAGTATGATCAGTTAATCCAAACCTTGGAACAAGATTTTCTAGATTCATCATGTACTATAGAACAACTACAAGAGTTGAGGAAACAACTGTTTTCAGAACAAAAAATAAAATTAAATCAAAAAAGAATAGATAATGTGAATGATGCTTTCAATTCACTATTTTATGAAAAATTAAAATATAAAAACAAAGTATTATGTTTGATATGAGAACTGCTGCTAGGTTATATAGAGAAATATCCTTATAGAGATTACATCGAAACATTATTAGATGGTGATTATTTTGATAATAAAATAAATAAATTAACAGACTCAAATGAAAAATATATTCTACAAAACCTTTGTAGAAGAACTGCTGAAATCTATAAAGATAAAGAACAAGACCAATATTTTATTGATAAATCAAATAAACAATTTCATTCAATATGTGATATTGAAGATGTAAATGAATTTGTTAATAACATAATCAAGAAAAATTATCTTTACAAACAGATAAAAGAAATATTCGATCAAGAAGATGATGTGATAAATTTCAGCAAAATGGTTGAACCAAATGATAATGAATGAACTTTTTTCAAAAAAATCAGATCGCTAGTAAAAAATCAAATACATTTAAACATAATTGATAAAATATTAGGAAAAGAAGATGATTTTGAGCAACCAGATAATAAAAAACAAAAACAAGCACCTAGAAAAATGAAAAATGTAAGAGAAGGCATCAACATAATTATTCCCAAAACAAGACTATTCCTAATGAGACAAGGTTATCAAACATTAGATATAAAAATATGTGTAGAAGAACTTTTAAAATTATATAAAGCTATCATAATCGCCTCTGATAAAGAAATTAGTTTTTTGAGAAGCTTGTTGTTAAATAATATCATTAAATACTCAGATCCATCAATATTTAACAGATACGATATAAAATCAGAACAAAATAATAAATTTTTTATTAATTCAAGAACAATAACAAAACAACATTTCCTTGATATAGTGTTCAAAATTCTAATCAAAAGAGACAGAGATCTTAGATTAGATGAGAAAATAGGAAACATCTTTGATGATACTGAAGTTTAACATATTATGAGTACATCTTTTGCAGTTACAGAGATTCAATGCAAAATAAAAGAAAAAAATGACGAAATCGAAGAACTTAAAAAAAGAATAGAAGAACTCGAACAAAAACAAAATGAGCTCAATGAAGCATTAAAACAGAATTCTTTAAAATTCATGCTAGTTTCATTAACTAGTTTTCTGTCAAATTTTCAACATTTATTTAGACATATGATTAAAACTCTTATAACAATTTATATTTTTATTTATATTGCGAATCATTTTTTTAATATAGATATGCAATGTATTATAATTTAATTTAT